CAGATAGGCCCTTTGTCAGAATATCAGCAAATTGCTCATTAGAGGAAACAAACTGCATTTGAAGTAACTGTTGGGCAACCCTGTCACGAACAAAATGGATATCAATCTCAATATGTTTGGTTCGTTGATGCATCACTGGATTACAAGTCAGAGCAATAGCCGAGAGGTTATCACAAAACATAATGGATGGAGTCGAAACTGTAATCTGCAGAAAAGTGAGAATATGTCTTATCCAATCAAGCTCAGCTGCTGTTGTAGCAATGGCACGATACTCAGCTTCAGTAGAAGAGCGAGAGACAGTGTTCTGCTTCTTTGATGACCACGAAATGGGATTAGAACCCAAGAAAGCAACCAAACCTGTTGTAGAGCGTCGATCATTCGGATCCCCTGCCCAGTCCGCATCACTAAATGCATTTAACTCCAAGTCGCCCTTTGTATATTGAAGACCATAATGTTGAGTGCCGTTAAGATACCGTAATATCCTTTTGACAGCCAAGTAATGAGACTCCATGGGACACTGCATGAACTGAGCAACCTGATGTACCGAAAAAGCAATATCAGGTCTTGTGAAAGTGAGATACTGTAAGGCGCCCACTATACTTCTGTACAATGGAGGATTGTCAAATGGTATGCCATCATCCTTAAGAAGGCGATGAGAAGGCAGACAAGGAGTAGCATAAGACTTGGACTGATGCATTTCTGTCTTTGTCAATAAATCGGTGACATATCTATGCTGAGACAGAAACAACCCTTCTGTATTGGTTGTGATTTGAACACCAAGGAAATAATGGAGTGGTCCCAGATCCTTGATATCAAAGATATGGGACAGTTGACATACTTCATTGGATTGCAGATTTCTTATAAGGACAATGGGGATATTTTTCTAAATCAGTCCAAGTATATTAGAGATGTGATTCATAAGGCTGGGATGGATTCATGTAAACCTGCAGCTACTCCATGCAAACCTCATGATCAACTGGTCATTTCTGGGGGTTCTTTGTTGACTGATCCTTCTCTTTACAGGAGTATTGTAGGATCATTGCAGTATTTGACCTTTACTAGGCCAGATATTGCATATGCTGTTAATACAGTATGTCAATTTATGAAGTCTCCAACGGAAGTGCATTATGCAGCAGTCAAACGCATACTTCGTTATCTTCAAGGCACACAACACCATGGGATTCTATATTCAGCAGCTAAGGAAACAACATTAACTGCGTTTTCCGATGCTGATTGGGCGGCTGATATCAACACTAGAAGGTCGATAACAGGCTATGTCGTGTATCTGGGTAACAATCCCGTGTCTTGGCAATCAAAGAAACAATGCTCAGTCTCGAGGAGTTCAACAGAGGCTGAATATAAGGCTCTTGCTCACACTGCAGCTGATGTTGCTTGGGTGCGGGGAATACTGAAGGATCTTGATGTGTTTTTGTCTTCACCTCCTACAATTCATTGCGATAATATGTCTGCCATAGCTCTTACTGCGAATCCTGTATTTCATTCTCGCATAAAGCATCTTGACACGGATTTTCATTTTGTGCGTGAACGTGTTCAACAAGGAGATCTAGAAGTGGTGTACATTCCAACTGAGGATCAAACTGCCGATGTTCTTACAAAAGGTCTGCACAGTCCAGCCTTTCTTCGACACTGTTCCAATCTTAGGCTGAGTACCCCAGCCACGATTGAGGGGGGATGTTGACTGAGATGGATTAATGGTTAGATGGAGTGCCAACTCATTACTTCAATCAACGGTTAGAATATCAAAACAGTTTATAGTTAGTTAGTTAGTTAAAAGAGAAAGCTTGCTAGCTAAGACTGTATGACAAAGTTCTATGCCAAGATGCAGCTTCCCGTTTGTGGTGTCGTATATGATACGATGATTTCTTAACTTTGGTCTGGGCTCCGGTGCATTGCCGGGCAAAAGTATTTGGTTCTGGCGTCCCCGTCTAGTAGAAACATATTGTGAGCCGGAACTTGAAGACCCGAACCATCACTGAAAACAAAGGTGAGTGTAGGAAGTTGGAGATAGCCCGCGGAGGCAGGTCTCAAATAGCACAGCTCAAGGTTATGCTGACCTGCAATCACATGGTAGTCATAACCGTTTTGAAGAAAGTAGTTTGTTAAGGCTGTTTTCAGTGCGTTGAAAGCAGCATTGTTAAGTAGCGATATGTCACCGCCTGAGTCTATGATGGTTCCGGTGGGGCAGAGTGCGTTGAAAGCCAGGTCTCAAATAGCACAGCTCAAGGTTATACTGACCTGCAATCACATGGTAGTCATAACCGTTTTGAAGAAAGTAGTTTGTTAAGGCTGTTTTCAGTGCGTTGAAAGCAGCATTGTTAAGTAGCGATATGTCACCTCCTGAGTCTATGATGGTTCCGGTGGGGCAGAGTGCGTTGAAAGCAGCATTGTTAAGTAGCGATATGTCACCGCCTGAGTCTATGATGGTTCCAGTGGTGCCTGCTGCCCTGTGAGCGAAAACATCTGGGGGTATACGAAGTATCCACGGGCACGTAATTGCACGTAATTGGCTTATTAGAGAATTTGGTTGGAACTGAGGAGATTTTGAGCAAAACAGCTGGAAAAATCGGGGTGGCTCTAGGCGGCTGGGTGTTTTTGTTTTTTTTGAAATTTAAAAAATAAAAAATAAAAACTTAGATTAAGTATCTTACATTACTATATTTCCTTATTTTCCTCCTATTTTGCATTTTATGTTGTTTTAAATTGTGAACTTGTTATACATGTGTCAGCATACATTACAATACTCCTCACTATGGTTATATGGCATATATGCTTAATGCGTTTTTAAATTTTGGACTTGTTGGATACTCTTTTTGCATTTTATCATTCTTTTATTATCTTATCCATGGATTTCATACAAGTTTAATTTTTTGTAAGTGACAATATGCACTTATTTGTAAGATATACAAGAACTTTACCTAAATCCGCATAGGCGCCCACCTAGCTGCCTAGGCGCTAGGCGCTAGCCCGCCACCCGACTAACACCTAGCGTTTTTCAGAACCTTGGAAAAATATGTCCTAACCAGTATAAGTTCGACCCTCTTCCTGCAGTTTTAATTAATTTAACATAAAATATCATTTGTTTTCAAAACAAATATTTCATTAGTGAAACAAATCCTGATTCATGATTCATTAACCATTTACAAATATATAACCCACATACAAAAAGAAAGCCGAATAATAGTTAATGACTAACCCAAGATAGTGATCCATAATGCTAATATCAATCCATGATCCTAACAAAATCCTTTTCAGTCCATAGGATTTCCGGTCGGGTCTTAAAACCCTTCCATTTCGCTACTCATGGGATTTTGATATCCTGTTTCTAAACATTTTGCATCAAGTAATGCTAGGGAGATTAAATTTGAAGACAAAATTTGCAAACTAAATTATGTGTCATTAAATTTAGTCTTCCTAGCATTCCCATTTTGCATCAATCTACCAATGGCACAAAAAAAAAATTGATATAAACGATATGTTTACAATTTTACACTAAAAAATGGAGGAATACAACTAAACAAATTAACAATTTTTTAATTTAACTGATATATTACATTTAGGGATGTCTTGTTACATTCAGTGGCGTATCCAAGGTGTCCTCTGGGTCTCCAGACCCTACAAAAGTCAAGAAACATAGAGAGAAAGTCACCGGACTCTAAAACTATGTGGTATGGGACCTGAGAATACCCACAAACTTACATTATTGTGCAAATAATGAGAAAGCATGCATGTAGCGTGCATGATATTGGTATACCATGTCATTTTTATGGTAAGAGATATCATGTTTTTTATATGGTCAAAGAGATCGAATGTCTATTTCACTCCTAATTTTCATAAAGAAGATAGATTTCGAACAAGGAGCCGATTGAAGGAAAAGTTTCAATTTTCTTAATTTCATATTTGATTTGATTGATCAAAATCATGTGGGAATGCTTAACCAAAATTAAATATTTTGTGAGGAATGCATGCTTCTATATTAGCTAATTGGATTCATATAAGATGTTGGAGCAATACCAAAGGTATCAGTTTTCTTATTAGATCTTCATCCTTAAATTCCAGTTGACAATTTTTAGTTTCTAAGATTTTTGATTTCCCTTGAAAGAAATCGCAAACTGATTAAAAAAATCAAACACTATTACAAGCAAATTTTTTTTATTAGAAAAATTAATCAAAGTTGCAGAAGTCACATGATCTATAGAAAAGCGATAGTATTTTTGACGATTGATACTATTAACAATATCAAGAATCATGAAATGATAAAGAAATTTAGAAAATTGTTTGGAGAAAAGAACAAAAGGAGCCACTTTTGAGGTTGCCGTGCAGGTTTTGTTAATAGAGAGAATGTGGTATTGAGAAAAAAAAAACAGCACCAACTATCAAAAAAATAAATAAATTCTCAACCACAATGTCACATGATAAACCAAATAGTTTTAAATCATTTTAAGCATATGATTTATTATATTAAATCTTTACATAAACAAATGATTTTTTAAAGTTCATCCAAAATGTATGTTTAACTTTTTGTTACTGTTTCACCCCAACAAATTCTTTGTCCATCTCCAGCTAACACGCATATCAGCGTTTTACATTCTTATCGTTCTGACAAAGTTTTTATCTCCTGGTGCATAGCTGCCCCTTTCTCTTTTTACAGTCTCGTAGACGGATGGAAGAAGGGAAATTACAGATACCCCTTCTCTATTTACAACCTCATAAACAGACGGGAGAAGCAAGTTATAGAATGAGACAGAAAGGGAGAAGGAAGTTACAAAATGAAATAGGAAGTAGACAGCGAGCCGTTATTAAAATATTATACACGTGATAATTATCACCAAAAATTTCATGTTCCATACAAATCAGTACTGGCTACAGCACCGAAGATGAAATATAGAGTCGAAACATTCATTTTCTTACCATGTATATTAAAAAACTTAAGAAATATCACAATAAAGTAAACAATATTGATAAAAATTAAACAAAGCATAAGGAGCAATCGGATATAAATCAAGATTGATGTCAAAGAATTTCGTACGAGACCACTCGATTTCATGGAGACTTTAGTATACACTTCTACAAATCTAACCCACAAGTTGCAAAAATACAAGTATAAGTAAGGAATGATATGAAATATGATAAACCAATTTAATTCCACATGGAAAAACATCTAAAATTTTGCTTGAAGATACCTAATTACCGATTGTTCCACTTGGAAAGACTTGGCCAAAACATCCTCGGAAATAGCAGGATTGGACCCAAAAACAACATTGGCAATGGTGTTGACTCCAGGGTTTTGGCTGCTCAAAGAAGATAGAGAAATGGCAGTTCCTGAACCCAGGTTTTGCTGATAGTGAACTAGTCCAACAGGGAAAACAAACACATCACCCTTCTTAAGGACCTTCGAGATGAGCTTGTTCTCGGGGTTTGAGGTCACAAACCCAACATTGAGCTTGCCTTTTAAGACCGTCAGAATCTCGGTGGCGCGAGGATGGGTGTGGGGAGGGATAACACCCATTGGTGCGTAGTCAATGCGAGCGAGTGAGATGCCGAGGGTGTTGAGTCCTGGAATCTGAGCCACATTGACTGGGGTGACTTTTCCGCCAACAGGGTTTGAGGTGTTGCCCGGGATGTGAAGTCCGCTGAAGAAGAAATGCTCAGCTGTTGCTAGCTTGGAGTCCAAGCAAGGTAACCCATTAACTCTTGTTACTGTTACAATTGACAAACCAACACAAAAAGTTACGTAATTGTGAAATTAAAGTTTATCTTAATTAACATAATTAAACATTTCGACACGAACCTGAGCTAGTAGCGTCAGCAACACAGAAATCTTGCAGTGGAGCAGGCTCAAAAGCAACAACCAGAGAACATGTCATGGCTAGGAAAGTAGCTAACAGCAAGATTTGGTTTGCCATCTTAAATTTTCACCTTCCAGTGCGAGAGTATAATTTTAGTTATTGCAGATGTGGAAAATGGAAAGGATTGAGGGAGATGTGAAGCAATTGTTGGATGGACTTGGTTATTTGTAGACAAGGTAGAATTAGTGATGGCTTTCAACGAAGAACAACCATACAATAAAAAACGCCGGCCGGCCGGCCGGCCGACCTTGCATTATTCTAGATACCGGAAAAGACTGAGAGCGTTGAGTTAAAACAAAATGTATACATGTACATCCACTAAATCCAAATTTGTTCATAGATAATCCTTTGTTCATTCCTATTCCTTGTCTAATTTATTTCATATTTTAAGAAACCGTGTAAAGAATCTGTAATTTAAAAAAAAAAATATATCAATAACTAAACCATGAAAGTTAAGTTGAAGCAGCAGCTTATAGAAAAATTTAAACTCAAATTACAACTAATTAAACAACTAATTAAAGGCGCCGCCGTGTTTTTGTTCCAGCATCCTGCTCCGGCTGGAGCTGATATGGTCAGATTATCAGTCATATATTTGCCGACTTGCAACTTCTGGTCAGTTTATTCCCAAGATTAAGTCTTTGTGGGAGAAGGATGAATGTAAATTATGTCGTCATTTTTCTTTCCGTTGGCGCAATCGGGTAGTTTGGTTGTCCGACGGAGTAGGGCAAACATAAAGGGGGGAAGGCGATCGGAGTTGTACGGGCAATTACTTAAAAGAATTTGAGATGAGAATAAGTAATGCATTGTGCACCTGAACAGCCATAGATATGATCATATAAGAATCTCATACAAATCTGAAACTCATAAGGCCACAGATGGAAGAAAATAAAACCTAAGTGTCATGATGCGGTATATCTTTGACCTATTGTTGATAATAGATTTGCTCGCCGTTGGTGGTTAGCATCACCACCACATTATGTGTCATTTGATAAGTTTGATTTAACTTACCACCCGCTAGACCTGTAAACGGATCGGATTTATCGGATTCAATCCGACCCGTTAAGTTAACAGGTTATCTGAAATCGACCCGTTAAGCTAACGGGTCACCCAAACCCGACCCGGTAAACTAACGGATCACCCGTTAACAATTATTATTATTATTTTTTTGCATAGAGTTTATTTTTTGTTGTTAAAACTTTAATGAAATTATTAAAATATCCTCAACTAATGGGTCCTAACGGTGCTAACGGGTTGACCCAAAATGACCTGTTATTTAACGAGTTCACCTGTTAGTGGCCCAACCTGTTAAACATCCACCCAAATACTAATATTAACAGATCAGATCGGTTCGGATCGGGTTATCGGATCGAGTCCAAAATGCCAGATCTACCACCCGCCACCACGAATATCAAAAAATCAAAATCGTCAAATGGCACATATTATGGTGGTAATCTATTCTCCCTATTGCTAGTTGATACTATTCCATTCGCATATAAGTTTTTTAGATGTTCTAAATCTGAAACATAGGAAGATCATGTTGAATTGTGGCCAAGTGGACAACAAAACAAAACAACTTTCGGCTAATAAACAAACCAAAATAAAAAAGGTGAAAGACATCATGATGAGGAGGCATCATGATTATGTTTGTTGAAAAGAAAAGTTGATGGTCATGATGATGTTTTTGAATTTTTTATTGGGTGATGATGATGGATGAATGTTAGCATACGGAAGTGAGAAAGAGAGAGGAAGGAGTGTGCACCATTTTCTGTTTTGTAGTCCATCTTTGAGAGAGCAAAGAGAGCTGCAGAGAGCAGAAAGAGAAGAAAGAAAGGTGATTTCTTTCTTTGTTGGTACTCACTCAATCAAAGTTGTATTTGTGTATTAGCTTTGAGTTTTGTATAGAGAGGAAATTATTCACTATATTTCTCTCTCTATTTGTTTCTTTGGTGAGTGAGAGTTATTGGGTGTATTGGGTTATTTGGGTTGTGAGATTGCCAACACTTTGTAAACTCCCATTTGGTTGATAGTGGATTATTGGGTGAGCTCCTACTGCTCCGAGGACGTACTCCAGTTACACTGACTGTTGAGGAACCTCGTTAAAATCTTGGTGTTTTTTTATATTTTGTTCTTGCATTTTCATTTGATAAATTTCCTGTGGGTTAGCTTGAGTTGGTTCCAACGGTTTTGGTACTATCCTAGCACAACAATTGGTATCAGAGCACTGGTTGCTCTTGGGTACTGTCTAGTTGCCAAAGATGTCAGATGGGCAAGATGAAAATCCTTTTGGAAGCAGCTCCGGGTTTGCAAGAACTACGGTGCAAAATGCAAAGTTCGAAGTGGAAAAGTTTGATGGCACAAACAACTTTGGGATGTGGCAATGTGAGGTCAAAGATGTGTTGGCTCAACAAGATCTACTTACCGCTTTGGGAGAGAAGCCAGAAGCTATGTCGAAGCCGGAATGGGAGAAATTAAATTTGTGGGCTTGCTTTTCAATTCGGTTGTGCCTTGCAAAAACTCAGAAGTATTTTGTGATGCGGGAGACGGTAGCAAGTGTGTTGTGGCAAAAATTGGAAGACAAGTATATGACGAAGAGTGCAGAGAACCGGCTACACTTGAAGAAAAAGCTCTACCGCTTCCAATACAAAGAAGGTACAAAAATGATTAGACACATTGATGCTTTTAATAAGTTGATTGCCGACTTGTTAAATTTAGATGAGGATATTAAGGATGAAGATAAGGCCTTAATATTGTTGAATTCCTTGCCGGACTCTTATGAGCATTTTGTTACCACTATTATGCATGGTAAAGAAACAGTGAAATTTGAAGATGTGTCAAATGCCTTGATGAATTATGAAATGAGGCATAGAGATAAAAATCATGATAGTACCTCTAAAGCTTTATTTGTTAGAGGTAGATCATCGGAGAGGAGGTCATCTTCTAGCAGGAAAAAATCACAGTCTCGACCTAGAGGAAACTCTAAAGGTAGAAAACCTTTGGAAAAGGATGAATGTGCCTTTTGTCATAATAAGGGTCATTGGAAGAAAGATTGTCCTAAATTGAAGACCAAAGGCAAAGAAAGTTCTGAAGCTAATGTTGCTGAGGTTGAAACAGATTTTTTCTGATTTTGCTTTAAACCACTTCCTCATCATTTGATTGTGCTACTAAGTGGGTGTTGGATACGGGTTGTACTCATCATATGACTCCTCACAAGGATTGGTTTTCAAGCTTGAAAGAGTTTGATGGTGGCGTTGTGTTCATGGGAGATGACAATCCTTGCACAACAAAAGGGATTGGTACAGTTCGTTTTGAAGTTGCATGATGGCATGGTTAAAGAGTTGACAGGTGTTCGGTATGTACCGAATTTGAAGAAAAATCTTATTTCTTTGGGTACTTTGGAATCCAAGGGTTTCAGGTTTCATTCAGATGGACAGACATTGAAAGTTACTTATGGTGCACTTGTTGTGATGAAAGCTCCTAGATGTGGCCATTTGTATTTATTGCAGGGAAGCACTGTGACAGGTGAAGCATTTGTAGTCTCTAAAAATATGGGCACATCTGATTCAGATACTACTAGACTGTGGCATATGAGATTAGGCCATGCCGGTGAGAAAGCTCTACAAGGGCTTGTGAAAAAAGGTCTTCTAAAAGGTGCCACGACTTGTAAGCTTGATTTCTGCGAGCATTGTGTCTTGGGGAAGCAAACTAGAGTGAAGTTTGGTACTGCTGTACATCAGACGAAGGGCATTCTTGATTATGTGCATTCGGATGTTTGGGGTCCTATAAAGACTCCCTCTTTGAGTGGTAGACATTGGTTCGTGACCTTTGTTGATGATTATTCAAGAAGGTCTTGGGTTTACACTATGAAGCACAAGAGTGAGGTATTGAGTATTTTCTTGAGTTGGAAGAAAATGGTTGAGAATCAGACTGGGAGAAAGATTAAGATTTTGAGATCGGATAATGGTGGTGAATACACATCCGATCCTTTCTTTAAAGTTTGCAAAGAAGAAGGAATTGTGAGACATTTAGTGTTCAGGGAACTCCACAACAAAATGGAGTTGCAGAAAGATTGAATCGAACCTTGCTTGAGAAGGTTAGATGTATGTTGTCTCAGTCGGGTTTAAGCAAGTCATTTTGGGCAGAAGCAGTTAATTATGCATGTCACATCATCAACCGGTTACCTTCAGCTGCTATTCAGGGTAAGACACCAATGGAGGTATGGACTGGAAAACCTTCTTCTGATTATAATCATATTCGTATTTTTGGTTCACCTGCTTATTTTCATGTAACTGAAAATAAACTTGATCCTAGAGCCAAAAAGGCTATCTTTCTTGGTTTTAGTAGTGGTGTCAAAGGTTACAGGTTGTGGTGTCCAGAGATGAAGAAACTGGTAATTAGTAGAGATGTGACATTTGACGAAGAAAGTATGTACAAAGTCTCTGAGAAGAATGTGAAAGATGTCCAACAGGTGGAGCTTGAGAAAGTTGCCTCTGGTACTTCAAATCCTATTTCCGCTGATGTTGAAGCCACTACAAGTGAAGAAGTGGGAGACCATGAGGATGTTGAAGAAGTTGAACTTGAAGATTCTATTCAAGTTGAAGAGCAAGTTTCACCTCAAGAGTCTATTGCTAAGAACAGAGGAAAGAGACAAATTACCAAGCCAGCTCGGTATAGTGATTATGTTGCTTTTGCTCTTCCTATTATCACTGAAGAGATTCCATCCAATTTTGAGGAAGCTATTGAGAGTGAGGAGAAGAATAGGTGGTGCAATGCCATGGGTGATGAGATGAATTCTCTCTTGAAGAACAAGACTTGGGAGTTAGCTAAATTGCCTAAGGGCAAGAAAACTATTGGGTGCAAATGGATGTATGCCAAGAAGGAAGATGCTGATGAGAAAAGCAATGTGAGATTTAAAGCAAGATTAGTTGCTAAAGGGTATGCACAAAAGGAGGGCATTGACTACAATGAAATCTTTTCTCCGGTTGTGAAGCACTCCTCAATTCGTATTATGTTAGCTCTTGTTGCACAATATGATCTTGAGCTTGTGCAACTCGATGTGAAGACGGCTTTCCTACATGGTGATTTGAATGAAGAGATCTATATGTGTCAACCAGATGGGTATATAGTGAAAGGGAAGGAAAATTTGTTTTGCAAATTGAAGAAATCGCTTTATGGCTTGAAGCAATCTCCAAGGCAATGGTATTTGAGGTTTGATAAATTTATGAGAGACCAAAATTATTCTAGAAGTCAATATGATCATTGTGTGTACTTCAAGAAGTTGCAAGATGGGTCTTTCATTTATTTGTTGATATATGTTGATGATATGTTGATTGCCTCAAAAAATGTTGAAGAGATTGAAAAATTGAAGAAGCAAATGAAGAATGAGTTTGAGATGAAGGATCTTGGTGAAGCGAAGAAGATCCTTGGCATGAAGATCACTAGAGATAGAGAGAAGGGTTTGGTCAATTTGAATCAAAGACAATACCTTGAGAAGTTGATTCGGAAGTTTGGAGTTCATGATTCAACCAAACCGGTTAGTACCCCTTTGGCTCCTCATTTTAAATTGAGTTCTCTACAATGTCCTAAAAATGATAAAGAGAAGCTGCAAATGAAAAATATACCATATGCAAATTTGGTTGGTAGTTTGAT